GCCTGACTCAATGGTTGCTCTAAAGAAAATCCTCAGTTTACCGCCTATTGACCTTTTCGCGGAAAACCGTGCAGATAAATTCGCAGATAGGTTGACGGCCATAGGGGAATACTATCGCAGAACCTTTGGGTACAGCTTAATTAAAAAAAAAATGCAAATGCAGCGCGTAGCAATTTTCTCAGACAGCCAGGCGGCCATTAAGGCCTTGGCGTATTTTACAATATGCTCGAGTGAAGGATTCTTTTAAACTTAGTAAGTAGTCAGCTTGATTTAGATTTGGTTTGGGTTCCTGGTCATCGCAGCATTCCCGGAAACGAAGCTGCAGGCGAGGCAGCCAGAGAGAGTTTCGCATTGGTCCCGATCGAGGATCGGATCCCACCCCCTGAAATTCTATATTAGAAGCATATGAGTTCACAACGTTACGAGAACTATCTGATATAAGTCTCTACAAAATACTCAACTTTACCAACCACAGCTGTTGATGCTAACATATTCAGTCGAGGTATATGGCACTCAAATGGCACTTAGTTGCTATTGGGATGTAAAAGTTTTTTCGACACCATTCTAGCCTAACCTATAAAAACCGCATGGTGCATTATGAGAGGGGTTACATAAGTATTTTTTTAACATACATTCCATAAGTTACATAAGTGTTTACACCAAGAAAGGGGGCTCAAGTGAAAGTACAGATAATTAACCGGTGAGCTTTTTTTTTTGCATTAGCGAATGGCTTTATTAGCTCTCCAATTCGAAAATTAGCTGAAAATTGCAATCACGCAACTGCGGACTGCGCTGCTTACAAAAAATTTTCTTCTTTTTCTCTTCTATTTAATACGAACTCATTAACACTTCACGTTTAGATGCAGTGAATTAAAAAGTAAAAGGCATTTGAACTCTCAACTTTCTGGGCGTCACTAAAATGAGAAAACAAAATCACTTTGAAATGGCTAATTAATAGATTTGCTATGTGATTTTAAATAAGTGTGTCATATCTATAAACATACATACATATACACATATTCAGACATTGAAAATCGGTTCAAGCTTTTTTTTTTTTTTTCAACAATTCAGCGCGAACTCGCAGGAAAGTGTGTATTATTTGTTTTTATTTTTTTTATTTTTGAACTCTTACTTTTATTTTGTTGCCTTTGGCTAAGCGTACTGTTACTGTTATCTAATCACTCACTCGTATTTATATATATATATTAGCGCCACCGTTATTAATTTCAATTACAACACATAAATACATACATATACACAACATGCCTTTTGAGTATTTACGTCCAACATTTCGCTCTCCCAATTTCAATTTCATTTTCATTCATAATTATAGGTTATGTAGTCGCGTGCCAGTTCGCGCCAAAATTCAGACTATAAAATCGCGAACGCATAGCGCCGTAACGGTATAACAACTGCATTGTCAATTTGGTGTCGGAAGAGGGTGAATTGTGTAGTGTCGCTAGTATTTATTTTTTTTTCAACTTTTTAATGGATATTTTTTATTAGTTATTATGAGTAATGAAGTCATAATTGCAAGTAGGTATAAATGGCTGCGATTTTATCGTCCTAACACCAGTAATTTTTGAGTTGGTGGTAAAATTGCTTACCATAAAGTAAGAGAGTACTTAATCTTGTTATTATTTATGTTCATATGTATGTATGTGCATACTTAGGTGCGGGTACTATGCATTTTTTAGCGTATGCATGTTTTGCATCTTGCGGAACTAATTTTTAAGCAGCTACATATACTATAGTGCTAATCATAACTATACGCCTATCGCATATCAAAAAGTTTTGACTTTTTAATTTATTTATTTTAGCAATTTTTTTTTTGTTGAAGGTGTTCCACATTTTCTCCATATAAAAACATCGTCGAACAAATTTCGTATGGAAGAAAATGATTGACATCTTCAAAAAAACAAATACCAAAAATCAGTCGTAAGTCCTACCCACTTCAAAATTGCACTTTATGTAAGAAATATAATTTAAAACTTCGAAAGTTTGTTGATTTGTTTGTAATATTGCACGAAAGTTTAAAACTTGGCTTTATACGATTTTTGTTAAAGAATAAAAAATATATTTTTATAAAAAAAATATAATATACATATAATTAAAAGATAACAAAATAAATGGTAAAAACTTGTCAATGTGTGCGAAACGCACTTACGGTTGGCTAGGTTGGGTTAGAATGGTGGCGCAGGAACTATTACGCCCAAGCTAAGTGCCACTTTGATATCATATACCTCGAATGAATATGTCAAAACCAACCGGCGCGCCAGGGTGTGGTTGATAAAGTAGAATATGTTGTGGAGACTTATCAGAGAGCTCTCGTAACGATGTGATCTCATATGCTCCTAGCATTATATTTGCGATCCTCAGGACAGCTGGACATTTGCAAAGAACGTGCTTTACTGTTTCCTGCTCGTTCTCATCTCTGCAGCTTGTACATAAGTCGTTGTCCAACCGGCCAGCGCCAAATAAAAGTCGCTACAAGCCTTTCAACCTCAGATCTGGGTCTTCTCAATAAGTTGTGTGTGCTCTTAAGATTGTTCCACATGAGTTTGGATATACGGCCGAGATCCGGTCCTCGATCGACACCAATGTGGAACCCTCACTGGCCAACTCGACTGCGGCCTCAAGTTCCTCGGCTCTTGACGGAAGAATGACCCCGTAAGGCTTGTGAAACTCTGTTTCAGGTCATATGTAATCGGCAGCCAGTCTCATCTTAGGTAGCAATCGAGAAATTATACAGCTTCTCTGGGTTCACTCTAAGGCTAGATTGCCCGGCTCATCAGCATATTTAGCGCTGCTAAAGTTCCATCAATGATATTACTCACCACAGATGGGAATAACCCGGTTACAAAAACCACTACATTGTCAGCGTAGGCCACTACTTTTACTCCCCCCTGGTTGAGCTTGAGTAGTGCTGTTCCAATGACTTCATGCCTCAGGCATGCCATCGCCGTGGAAAATCCCGGACGTCCGCGTCTAGAACCCTCTCGAAATTTTGAGAACAATGGAAGTTAAGCTAATTAACAAAAAAAAAAACGTCGGCGTAGACGTGCCCTCGCCCACCAGGTTTTGGGATGAAAACCACTTTCACTCGGCTATGCATCCAATGAAAATAGACAAAAGCAATGGCATGATAGCATCATCCACTGTTTGCAACAAGGTAGGGATGATACCGTCTGGCCGCGGGCTTTTGTAAGGCGAGAAGGACTTCAAGGCCCATGATATTGAAGGCTTTGTGAAAATTGACTCTGCTATATGCTGACGTATGCCGACGACATCGATATTATCGGTAAAAACAAGGGCTACGTCTGTTCTGCCATCTCAAGATTGGATAGAGAAGCAAAGCGCATGGGTCTGGTGGTAAACGAGGACAAGACGAAATATCTCTGTCATCACACAAGCAGTCAGAGCATACGCATCTTGGCGCCCACGTCACTGTTGACAGTTACAAGTTTGAAAAAGTAGACGACTTCGTTTAGTTGGGAGCCGGCATTAACACCGATAATAATGCCAGCATAGAAATCCAACGCATAATCACTCTTTCCAACAAGTGCTTCTTTGGACTGAGTCCTCTATCGTCGTACAAAGATCACACTCTATAAGTCACTCATCATGCCTGTGTTGGGGTATGACGCGGAGGCATGGACAATGAAAACATCTGATGAAGCGGCTCTTGGAGTTTTCGAGCGAAATATTATGCGAAAGATTTGCGGACCTTTACGCTTTGGCGATGGCGAATACCGCAGACGATTTAACGATGAGCTTTATGAGCTTTAAAACGATATATGTAGACATAGTGCAGCAAATTAAAATTCAGCGGCTTCACTGGCTTGGCCATGTCATTCGAATGGACAGAAACGCTCCTGCTCTGAAAATATTCAACGCGGGCCGCGATGCTGGTAACAGAGTAAGAGGAAGGCCTCTTCTGTTTTGGAAAGACCAGAAGGAGAAGTACTTGGCTTCACTTGGTATTTCTAATTGGCCACAGTTAGCGGAGAAGAGAAATGACTGGCGTCCTGCTTTGGACTCGGCCAAAATCGCTTAGGCGGTTACAGCGCCAATAAAGAAGAAGAAGAAGATACATATGCTGAGCTCCAGCGTACCTTCTTGGAAGCTGGATGAACACTTTTTCAGAATTTCCCGGAAAATGTGTGTTAACAAGCAACCTGATTGAGTCTTTCAGTGACTTAAAGAAACACCAAGGTGAATACGAAGACGATAACGACTAAACCGAGGAAAAAATCGTCGCGACTCTTAAAAAGCAGAAAAGCGACCGAATTGCGGCAGTAACTGGCACTTGTTGTAAAGCATTGATGCTTAACCAAACCGGTGTACGTAACAAATCGTACATTTGTAATACTCAATGCGTCAAAGTCAATGTCATTGCTGTAATATTTACAGTTACCATTAATGCTTTATTTGTATGAATATTTCTGCTTTGCTAATCGGCAGTTTTCGGTGTGTTTTATTGCTTGCTCGCTCGCTTAGTTGTTCATGAATTTGTTTTACAAGAGTGCACTCATATTTACGATGTTGTTGTTGTTGTTGTTGTTGCTGTTGCACTCATCTACCAGTTTAGTTACGGCAAGTTGAATTGTTGCTGTTGGCTGCATGCTCACCGTTATTAGCGCAGATTTCGCACACCACCTGCAATTCAAATTTAATTCAATTTCATATAGTACATACATACATACATACATACATACATACATACAAACAAACATGCCCAGTGGGAACAGTAGTAATGCTTTACATGCGTAAAAAAAAATGTAATGCATATCTTATGAGTTTTAGGTTATATTACTGATTAATATGTAAAAATATGTAATCAGCATTCTAATATATCCAAAAAGTCCCAAAAATGCTTACTAAATTACACACATCCCTCGATACTTTTTTTATGACATCGCCTAGTGGAAAAAAATGCATTTTCAAATGTGGAACCGGCTGTTTTTCATTTTCCCACTGGGTGCATATTTGCATTAGACATGCACACGTACATACACATGCGTACGTAACCGCGAATTTGTTTTGCTTCGATTATCCGTCGTGGACGCCCATTACTGCACTACGCCGTGCAATATGCCGGCTGCCAGCGAATTATTTACCTTTCAATGGCTTCCTAATGGAGTATTGAGCTCTCACTTTTATTTATTTGTTTTTAAAAATTTTAGATACATATGCTTGCAGGTACATATCAATATGTATACATACATACACACACACATATATATATATATATACATATCAAGCCTAGTGACTGCGACCATTTGATTTAACTACTTTCGTTTATTATTATTTTATCGGCTTTTTCTTTGCTTTGGTTTTCGCCTTTCGACTTTACAGGAAGTCATCACGTCACGGTGTTGCACTGAACATACACAATCCGCTGTCTCTATTCAAGGGTGGCTTCAGTCGCCATCGCGAAACGGCATTCATCGTGCATGGCTTCAATGGCACCGCTGTCGATATGCATTTACAATTTTTGAGAGATGGTGAGTTATGGTGAAAAATATATAGTTAAAATCAGAACGGAATGAATGGCATACATATGTATGTATGTATGTACTTTAAGCCCCTTTTAATATTCATTCTTATATTCCTAAATTTTGTTTATTTCCAGCTTATTTGTCACGTGATTTCAATGTCATCACCGTCGATTGGCGACCATTAACCCGTTACCCCTGCTATTTGCATGCTTTGATCAATACACGCCTGACTGCTCAATGCACCGCACAGGTACGCATAAAATTACATATCTGTTGGCATTAGTGTGATCCAAAAATGCAGCGGAAGAATATCGAAAATGAGGAGACCGGTATTTCGAAAAAACAAATGATGCATATTTAACTTTAAAATTTGACTACCTATTTTTATAGCGTGCGTGTTTTGAAGATACAAAGAAATATTCTTATTCGATAAAAAAATATTTGATTTTCAACGATTACAGTTATAGCAATTTTACCAAAAAATTTTGCCTTCATCTGTAAAGTACATACATATATGCAAAACTTAAAGACTTCGGTTAAATACTAACTGTTTTCAAAACAAAAACTACGAGTCTCCTTATTTTCGATATTCTTCATTTCTAGTAGTAGCTGGAAACAAAACGTTGAACCACCCTAATTTACATACATACATATGTATGTTGATTTGCAGGGTACCGATTTTAGGACCTAAAAACTTATAAAAAAAGGCAAAATAAAATAACGAAATAGGCAGGAAAAGGCACTAGAAATCGAAAGAAAGGCAAAATAAGGCACTAAAAAACTTAAAAATAATTTAAAAAATACATTTATTTTAGAAATGTTTATTATACGAGTAAAAAGAGAAACCCCAATAATTAGTTTTATTAGCATATGAAAATTTTGTACTTTGCTTCTTTGATTATTTTCTCCTTTCGAGTTTTTAACTCACCAAAAGATGCATTTTGAAGTTTTCTGGCAGAGTTTTCATTCGATTTTCGCGACTAAAAGCCTTGAATATACTAAACGTTACGGCAGGGAAGTGCCTCTCAGGGTTGGTTACGATAACCCGTACCACTACAGACAGTTAATCTTAGAGGAAGAGGTGGAGTTGTTTCGACAGGAGATGGAAGCTGTTCAGCGGTACAGGAAAAGCGTGCCTGTTCCGCCAACCCAGAGAAAAAGAAGAAGTCACCACAAGGGAGTGTTAAGGGCAAGCCAGTTAGATGTTAAACAGGTAGTGTTTCCGGAGACCAGGAAAACGTTGTGGCCAGGAAAAGGTTGTGGTCGGTAAATGAAGCAAAGGCAAGCAGTAAAGCCTGTGGACCAGGTTGAGGATATACAATACATGCCCCTTCAATGAACTTGACATCGACGGAAGAGCCAGGTGTGGAACGACTAGGGAAGTGTCAGCGTTATGACCCAGACTAAGCAGTTGTAATGCGAACGTTGGAGCTGCGAAAGCTTCCGACCAAGGAGGAAGTGTTAGTGGAAAGCCCAATCACAAAGAAGTACTGGATACAATGGGATAATTTAAAGCCGATATCTGGTTGGTTTGGATTGGATATGAGAAAGTGAAGATGACCGATGCAAAAATTTCGGACGTTCTCAACGAGGTTCGAGATGGAGAGAACCTGGGGATGAAGAAAACGCTAGAGAGGATTAAGAAAAGATTATATTGGGTTGACTTCCATTAGACGGTCAACGAGCTGTTAGCAATATGTGCTAGCGGAGGAGGCATGGGCGCCATGTGAGAGATAAGGTTCAAATCGAACCTAGAGAATTTCATGGAAACGATGTGGTTTTATTGTACAAGCCGCAGCGAAAGGAAGGCTGCACCTTTAAACCACAGTGTAACTGGAAAGGCCCACATGGGGTTGTCAAGCGGCTGAATGACGGATGTTTCGAAACCATTCCGTTGGAAGGCCGAGAAGCAAAATGAAAATGGCCCACTTGGACAGGCTTACAGCGTTTGGAACAGCAAGCGTGGCTGATGGGGACGATCGGACTTAGGTGGATGGTAGTGTGACGAATACTGCAAAACACGAATGACAGACCAAAGCGAACAAACAGAGAATGACCGCATGCACCATGAAAGATGCAGGAGCTTTGACGTCGACAAAAGTCAAATGGAATGTCGATTAGTTACGATAAGAATCTTCTAGAGTTGCCATGAGTGCGAACGCAGGTAATATAAAGGCGTTGCTACAGCGCACTGAAAGTTCAGTTGCGAATCAGCAAGCTACAAATACAGTTGTAAAACAGATAGCTACGAGTACAGATATCAATTGCCTTAAAATTACTGTAAAGTTATGTAAAATACAATTATTTCTAATGTATTTTGAGCGGTAGGATTTGGTAAATCGTCGAGGATCAAAGAATAATCGTAACAATATGTTAATCTTTCGGTCAGGTTTTTCGGAAAACTGGCCACTGTGCACCGGTAAGATTTGTTTTGTTTTGTTGTTTATTTTTCTGTGCAATGTATAGTAGTCGTCCATGCTCATAACAAATTGGCTGCAAACACGCATTTAATAGCTATTATGTACATACTTACAATATTTAAGTTTGTTTGTTAAAAATTTTTAGGATTACCTGCATGTATGTATGGTTTAGTGCAGCTGATACAAATATGCACTCATTTTTTAGTCGACTTCTCACAGACTATGTAGTGCTTCAGTTATCTAAGCAATTTCATTATTATAAATTTTTTTTTGTAATTATTTATTTATATTAAGCAACCAAAACAAGTGCAATAAAAAAAAAAAACAAAAAAATTTTAAAGTCGAGGTTAACTTCCTCATCAATATTTTAGGGCGGTCGTTTGCCAGACAGACAGAGTCTCAGGCCACTTGCTCAGTTTGGTATACTATTTTACTTTTGTGACTTTTTTCACGTAAAATTCTCATTTTAGACTGAACTATTTTGTGATTCGCTTATTGCAACAATCTCAATCAACGCAACTGCCCGAATTTTTATCGGTTGATTTTACCGAGGACGTACTGTATGACTTATCGAACAAGATAACAGTGTTTTATAAGTATATATGTATGTAGGTACATATTTATATACTTGTAGATATATGTTTGTATATACATATATATTTCTTTCAATTCGTTGGCCATGACTTTTTTTTTTTTGCCTAGCCTAGCCTAGCCTAACCTTTATGCTAGTAATACCCCTTTTGCTATTCCGTTAATAAATAATTACAAATTTATGTCAGTTTATGTTCATATTTACCTGTTTCCCTGTTTCAGATTTACTCCTTCCTTACGCATCATGGAGCAGTGCGCGAAAAAATCACCTGCATTGGTCATTCACTGGGTGCGCATATCTGTGGCATGATGTCAAATCATTTATCGATAAAGCAGCATCGGATAATCGGTAAACGGAACATTTGTTTTTACAAGACTGTGTTGTTTGTATTTATGTCGCTTCCTATAAAATTTTCCTGCTATTTTTAATTGCTTTCTAGGCCTCGATCCGGCACGTCCACTTATCGAACGCAAGAAAGGTCATATCTTTCGCTTATCGATCGATGATGCGAGCGTTATACAGGTGCTGCATACCAATGCAGGTTTCTTGGGACAGGCAGATAATGTCGGACATCTAAATTATTGCATTAATGGTGGCAAATTTCAGCCATTTTGTAAAGGAAACCCAATAAGTGAGGGAGCTCTTCATGAAGTCATGAATTTTTCAGACATGCGTTTAAAGGAAACTAATATAATATAAATTTTTCGTAGGACGTTCCCGTTGCTCACATTTCCTAAGTATTTGCTATCTTGCCAGTGCAATGTTTAAGCATAAAAAGTTCTTAGGCGTTTCCTGTCCAAACGGTTGTGTGGAGTTGCGGGGACCTAAGCGTTTACCAGTGAGCGGAAAGAATCATCCGTTCGGTGTTATTTCGCAGATAAGCGAATATCATATTGGCAACGATGCTCCAGATAAGTGAGTAGTTTTTATGATTTCCAAAGGAAAATTGTATCATTTTAGAACTCTGCACGTATTAATTTTGCAATATTTCTATTTACTTACATATATAGCGCAAGGGGATGTTACTGCATCGATATGCCGTTCGTAAAACATTGTCCATTCAATGATCAGACCTAAGTGGAAATAATACATATATGTACATACATAGATTAAAATAGTTTTAGTTAATTGTTTAAATTAATGTAATGTAGTAACGTTTAAATTGTTATAAAATGAATATAGACTTAATTTTATTTATTGACATACATAAATATAACTAACAACATTTACAAATTGTTATTTGTTAATATATGTATAAGTATAAAGATACATAAAAACACGTTATGAACATATTTGAAAACAAGTACAGTGAAACCCGCTCGCCTCTGCCGGCGAGGAGATGCATTAAAAACCAAATCGAGCTTTGTGCTATGTGTGTGAGCTATGAGCTTCTACATGGAACTATATGTTGGTCTTTCCTTGGTGAATTGTAGTTGGTATATTTCCATGGTGAATGTAGACAGTTGCTGGTTTAGTTTGCTGGCAATGGCATAAATACAAAATCAGTTTCTACAGTAGATACACGAACTTCACTACCTACTTATTTTTGTTAGTACCTGATTCTTTTAAAAAGAAGATTCTTCAAATAAAGTATAAATATGCACCATCTGCATGGCTTTTTACAATGGCGAGTCCAAAAATTCACTTTGCTGCACACCTTACTTTTGGTCTACATGAAATTTCAAATATGTACATCCATTTTTTCATGTGCTAAAAATCGTAGTACTTACCTAAAGGGCTACATATCCAAAATTATTGCAACGTGTTCCTAATTAATCAATCTTTGTATATTTATTGATTCCTGCAAAATTGGGCCATGTAATATTAAAATTAACACATTTTTCTACATTGTTTACATATTTTTATATGCGTTTTGGCATTTCACTCTCGCAATTGCACCAAGATGACGTCACGCCAAAAATTACGCTCAAAAATCCTCTCTCATTGGCGCAATCTTGTATTCTATCATTCGTGCAACCCGCCTAAGTACCTCGATCTTTCGTGCCCCATTTGCAATTTTACTTATAATTTTCACCTTTTGAGTGCTCTTTTAAAATTCTTAAAATATTTACGTATTTTTAAATTCAGTAGCAGCGCTACACACCTTCGGTAAAAGAAATTCTAAAAAATCAACTGTAACTTTTAGCCACTTGAAACTTGCACGTTATGACGCTAAAATTGAATGGGCTATAAAACTGTATACTCAAAAAACACTTCTTAGAAAAAAGTTTGAAATTATGATGAATTTTTTTAAGTGTTCTAAAAAATTTTGAGCATAGGTTTATATTGTATTTGTTAAGGAATGAAGTGTATTTTAATTGATTGAAAAATCTAAAAAATTATATAGGTGGCAAACAATATCATTTTGAATTTGGTACAAAATGATATGTCCAACTCTGACATTTTAAACAATTTAATTCTTGTAAAAATTACTTACCATTGCACTTAAAATTTTTTTTATGAAGTTTTTTTTTTACTTGTTTATGTATTTAAATAATGCTACGATTTTGATTTTGAGCTATGTATACTTCATTCAATGTTGTTATTCAAGTATTTATGTAAGTTAACAAGAAGATGTAACTACATCAGTAATTATGTTCGCTTAAGTACCCGCATTGAGATACTTAAGCGGGTTCTTTTAAGTACCCAACCCGCCTAAGTACCTCAAAAAGATGACATTTTTCGCGAGGTACTTAAGCGGGTTTTACTGTAATTTGAAAAAGTGTCTTTAAGCTTTTATAACAGCTAAATTTTTTGTGTAGGTATTTCTTTCCATTTAAATAGTATATGTTCGAAATATGAAACAAATCGGACCCTAAATACGGATTTTCTAAATATCTCCAATGCTGCGCCACCTATCGGGCAAAATATTTGCTTTTTTCTGCGTTCTTAATAAAAGGTTTGTATAGTCCAGTCCCATAATCCAACTACACAAGATCTGAACTACGTCGTTGACTAAATTCTAAATTAAAGCGTGCCATGTGAGATGCAAAAAAAAAATAAAAAATTAAGTTGGGAAAAATAAAAATTGTTGCAATTTTCTTTCCTAGTAAAGTTTTTTGTTTCTCGAAGCATTGATCCATCCTTTGCAAGACCCAGTAATGAGCGACTGCGCTGCCGAGTTAGGCGAACGTTCCGAAAGCTGCTATTCAATCGCTTGTTTTATGTGGCCAATGGTTTCACAGGTATGTAAATAGATTTTATCAATTTAGATTTTTTTTTTAATAATTAAAATTATTTGACATTTTTGAAACCAAATAATTTGAAAAAAAAAAGGAACAGTCCAGCGCCTTCGTCTTGGCCTGCAGGCTGTATCGGAGATACAGCCGCTAAATTTAAACGTAGAATACGTGGTATGGTTAAGAGCATATCCAAGTAAAAAAACAAAAGCACACACTAAGCAAAGAATATCGATAACAAAAGCGATAATAATATCGGTAGCAAAATCGATAAAAACATCGATAAAGAAATCGATGAAAATATTGATATCAAAATCGAAAAAATATCGAAAGCAAAATCGATAGCAAAATCGATAACAATACTGATTACAAAATCGATTACAAAATCTAACAAAATATCGATTACAAAATCGATAACAAAGTCGATAACAAAATCGATTATAAAGTCGATAACAAAACCCATAACAAAATCCATAAAAATATCGATACCAATATCGATAGCAACATCAATAAAAATATCGAATATAAAACCTATAAAAAAATCTATAACAATATCGATAGCAAAATCGATAAAAATATCGGTAACAAAACCGATAAAAGTATCGATGACAAAATCGATAGCAAAATCGATTACACAATCGATAACAAAATCGATAAAAAATATCGATAACAAAATCGATAAAAGTATCGATCATTATATCGGTAAGTTCCGAAAATATCGATAGCAAAACCAATAACAATATCGATAACAAATTCGATGAAAATATCGATAACGAAAGCAATAATAATATCGATAGCTAAATCGTAAACAAAATCAATAAAAATATCGATGACAAAACCGGTAAAAATATCGATAACAAAATCGATAAATAATCTATCATAAAATCGATTACAGTGTCGATAACAAAATCGACAACAAAGTCAACAAAATATCTATAACAAAATCGAGAAAAAATATCGATAACAAAATCGAAAAAATACCGATCGTTATATCGATAAGTTCCGAAAATATCGATAGCAAAATCAATAACATTATCGATAAAAATTTCGATAGCAAAATCGATAAAAACATCGGTAATAAAACCGACAAAGTATCTATTATTATACCGATAAACCCCGAAATATGTACTTACGGACACATACATACTTTTTGTCTCCTTCCCACACTTCCAACATATGCACGTGTTTGCAAAATGATGACGAGGTGATTTTGTATGGAAAATCATTTATGCCCATATATTTGAATAAAATAAACATATATAGAAGATATCAACCAATACTTCCCATATACCAAACGAAAGGAAAACTCTTGAATTTTTGATTAAAGAAAACAAAAACAAAATCATTCGAACGGTTTTCGAGCATTTTGGTAATGAAAAAAATTTGCAAATTTTTTCAACAATATTTTGCCTTAAAATGCTCAATATTTGTTAAATTTATATAAAATTTGTACCCGATAATATTTCTACTGCTCCAAAGAACCTATATCCCGAAAATGAAAGTTATATATGCCAACAATAAGTTGCTAGAGCACTTTAAAGGCTCAAAATTGACCCCAAAATAAGGCAATGTTTACCGTTGTTTTTACGACAGAAACCGAATTGGTTATTTACAAAAATGAATCTGTCGACAGGTTTGGAATTTTATCTTTGAAACGCCACAATTTTCTTTGAAATCGCTTTATTAGTTCTCGTGCAATAAGCGTTTTTGTGAAGCTCTAAAAATTACAACTACAACATTTGAACATAGCCCCCATACCTTAAGGTAAGACGTATTCTACGTCAAAAAATCAAATCAGCTGCTCTACTGATACTACCTGTTCAATGTTCCTTGGCTCCTAACTCTGTTCAGAATTATATAGCACTTTTTTAGCTCCAGAAAGTTTTAGTTGTATTTGGCAATATAATAAAATTAAAAATCTGTCATTTCATTGTTCAAGTGTTGACTAAAATTTATTTGGCTTTGGTGATCTCAGGCTATTTTCAGTGCCTTCATGTTATTCCATTTCGATTGATATTTATAAAAGTTACATTCCTAATACAAATGGCGCGAAAACAAATGGAAAATGGGCAAGCAAGCCAATTAGTTTCTACAACGTGTGCGGGAGCCCAATAACTATACCGATCAGTAATTCTCTCTCTGGCGGCCACGCTAGAAAAGAAAACCCAAAACTTAAGCGGTGATAAAATGGAAAATTTCGAAATGTAGTGGAAAAACACATTCGTGTTCACGGGAAAATGCAGACTCCACCAAAGCTTTTTTTTATCTAGGTTAAAGAATTCAAAAATTAATTAGAAGAAAATCCTTGTTCTGAACGCGTGGATTTTGTTTGTACCTTACTAATTTTACCTTAAAAAGAGAAGGAAATAAAAGTTTTCAGAAAAATTTTCCAAAAAATTATTCATAACCCGAGTTTCAAATATCTGAAATTGCAGATTTTAACAGTTTGTTAAGTATTTTTGTCTTCATACTCTAGTTTATATAAGTACATGCATACATATAAGTGCCGAAGCAATGAATTTAAAATATATGCACCTTATTTCGGTTTTAAAGTTTTTTTCAGCACTAAAATTTATAAAAAAAAATTGTGGCTATTAAAATTGCGGAGAACGTAAAAACAACTTTACGTCACTAAATGCCCAACCAAAGAAAAAAATTTAGCGCTTCATTTTAGCTACTATTTATTTGTATTATTTTTTTTTGTAGCTTTGAGAACTTGAAAGTCCAGAATGGCAAGGAGAATTTATCCTCAAAATACCATGTTCACCATAAACAGAAATCGAAGAAACGACACAGGAGAAAAAATAAATAAATAAATAAAAACAAAAATAACAACAACAATAAAACTTCTATATAAACTAAAATAACATTTTCAATAAAGTAAAACAATACTTTTGAATAAAAATAACATTGACTAATTT